TCATTAATGACTTTGTTTGATCTCCTTGAACCTAGATCTTGGGATCTCCAGTCTTCTAAGTAGAGTTACCACCACTATGACTTGTTCTCGGCCACAGTCTCATTCCCCCTTGATGACTTCTCAACCTCTCTAGTTAGGCCTTTTGTAAGTAGATCCGACACATTATCACTTGACTTTACATAGTCAATCGTGATAATTCCTCTAGAGAGTAATTGTCTAACGGTTTTATATCTTCATCGTATATGACGAGATTTACCATTATACATAACACTCACAGCCCTTCCAATTGTCGCTTGACTATCGCAATGTATGCATATTGGTGCCAACGGTTTGGGTCAAAATAGAATATCTTCCAAGAAATTTCGAAGCCATTCAATTTCTTCACCAACTTTATCCAAGCTATGAACTCAGCCTCCATTGTAGAGCGGGCAATGCAAGTTTGTTTGGATGATTTCCAAGATACCGCTCCTCCACCAATAGTGAATACATATCCACTTGTGGACTTAGAATCAGTTGAACTGGTGATCCAATTTGCATCATTGTATCCCTCTATCACTGCAGGATATTTACTGTAGTGCAAAACAAAGCCCTGGGTATGTTCTAAACATCCCAAAACTCGTTTCAATGCCATCCAATGAGATTGGTCTAGATTGCTCATATATCGACTTAATTTACTTATAGCACAAGCTATATCTGGTCGTGTACAATTCATGATATACATTAAGCATCCCAATACACGAGCATAATCCAATTGTGATATGCTTTGGCCTTTGTTCTTTGCTAATGCAAGATTCACGTCAATTGGAGTCTTTGCAACTTTAAAGCCCAAGTGCTTGAATTTTTCAAGTACTGTCTTAATATAATGAGATTGTGACAATGCCAGACCTTGAGAAGTCTTACGGATCTTAATTCCCAAAATTAAATCAGCAACTCCCAAGTCTTTTATGTCAAACTTGCTAGTTAGCATACGCTTAGTAGCATTTATGTTGGCAATGTCATTACTCATTATGAGCATATCATCCACATATAAGCAAACAATGACTATGTGATTTGGAACATTTTTAATGTACACACATTTATCACATTCATTTATCATAAATCTATTTGACAACATTATTGTTCAAATTTCGCATGCCATTGTTTGGGTGCTTGTTTTAATCCGTAAAGGGACTTAAAAAGTCTACAGACCTTTTTTTTTACCTGGAACCACAAACTCTTCAAGTTGTTCCATGTAAATTTCTTTCTCCAACTCTCCATTTAAGAAGGCCATCTTTACATCCATTTGATGAATTTCAAGACCATAAACTGTAGCTAACGCTACTAACGTTCGTATGGACGTAATTCTTGTAACTGGAGAGTATGTATCAAAATAGTCAAGACATTCTCGTTTTCTATATCCTTTGACCACAAGTCTTGCCTTATATTTGTCAATAATGCCATCGTCTTCCATTTTCCTCTTAAAGATCCATTTAGAACCTAACTGTTTATTTTCAGGAGGAAGATCAATCAATTCCCATGTATGGTTGTTCAATATAGATTCTATTTCACTATTGACTGCCTCTTTCCATAACAATGATTCCGAAGAAGACATAGCTTCTTTAAATGTTTAAAGCTCATTTTCCAATAAGAAAGTCACAAAATCTGGTCCAAATGAAGTAGACGTTTTTTGACATTTACTACGTCTTGGATCCTCCTAGTTAAGAGTACTTTCTTTGTTTCTTACCGAGGTCATTTAGATCCTTCGCCAATCGACTCACATTCCTTTTTATACGGATATATATTTTCAAAGAACTCAGCATTATCTGATTCTATAACCGTATCATTGATGACAAGACCTTCAGCAAGGAGATCGTGAATAATCACTTGCAATTTCTGGACTTGGGTAATAACAGACTTGCTATCTACCATTTTGTAGTCCAAAAAGGTTTGCAGCAACAAACTTTTTCAACCCGACATCTTCGATTTTATATTTCTTTTCAAGTGCAATCCACAGTTCTTTTTATGTTTTCATGCCACTGTACACGTTATACAAAGCATCCTCTAGCCCGCTTAGAATATAATTCTTGCACAAAAAATCTGAATGCTTCCACGCATCAATCACGAGAAAGCGTTCAGTTTCTGGAGTTTCATCGGACAACACAAGAACATCTTCCTTAATGAACTTCTGGAGACTTAGAGTAGTCAAATAGAAGAACATATTTTGCTGCCCGCGCTTGAAATCAATCCCGGAAAATTTTCCGGGTTTCTCCGCCGGTGCCAATACTACCGGTGTTGTTCGGCTCATTGAGGCATTGACAGTCACTATCAGAACAGCTTGGTTTCCGTTATCATTAGTCATTTTTGTAAAAGAATGACACAAACGTTAAAATCACGTAGATTTTAATCTCCAATAGAGTACAAAACCACAAAGGTTTTACTCTCCAAAAACAGTGAGTACAAATACAGAAAATAGTTAAATTCCTTAAGCTTGTTAGTAAATTGTATTTGTAAAATAATTCTGGAAATATAAATGAACATAAACAGAAGTGAACAACAAAATAACAGAAAATCAAATCGAGCCCACTGAATTCACAGTGTTTCCTTAAGGAATTTAATCCCCTCCTAGTACCCAAGGTTATGAATTATTTCCTCTCGCGATAGAATGAACTACATACTGGTGTGGTGGTACTTCAAACCTCAGTGTTTCAGCGAACACAGAGTTCGGTAGCAAATCACACTTACTATTGCTTTGTCTGATGCTAAAAGTATGAAGAAGAAGGAGGAGAAACTCAGAAAATTGTAGTGAAATTCTGAGCCGAATAATGTTGTAGTTATAGCCAAAGTTGGGCTGAAATCTGAAGAGGTGCAACTCTTCAGAATGGTTGTTTCTGCAAAACGGCCACAACATAAATGCGATTACATAAATGGCTATTTACTCAACAATAAAGAGGGAAAATTTAAGAAGGTAGTTAATTTTCTATTACCAAAACAGAAAAACGGATTGGATTTAATATTAATATTTAATATTAAAATAAATATTTAATAACATTTCTGTTAATATTTTACTATTAACAGATAAATTTGGTCCAAAAAATTAATCAATCAATCATTTGACCGAAGCCGAAGCCGAGCCGAGCCGAGCGACGACGACGGCACGAGGCTTGCCTTCTATTCAACTCTCTAAGAGCTAGAAGAAGAGCAATTGCTTATATACCCATAAAAAACCTCTTCCTCTTCCAATATGGGACAATGCCCATTTACCAGGGGGGAAACTTAAAATTTCACTCAAAAATTTCATTTTCCTCCATTTCCCATTTACCCTCTTTTAAGTATTTAATATATTAATTAAATACATAAAAAACCCAACAATGTTTTCCTTTTCATTTGTCTACCCTTATGTTTTCAGATATTGTTTTCAGTGCTTGTAATCTGTTTAATTCCATTCTATCATTCTCTAGGTATCAACATATACAAAAGTACGAATATGTTCATTTCTTTCTATTTTATTGGTTTGCGCTTGTCAACTAGTACTAATTATGAATGGATCCAATACAAGTAGTAAATAACACAACTAACTCTTCTTGTTGCCTGGAAGTAGCTTCCACTCTCTCTGGAGAAATGAAGGTTATATTGAATTGTGGTTTTAACTCTTGGAAGATCGGATCGGAGTTCCATATACCTCGTGTGCTGTTGAAGTTGCTGGAGAATAAATATCTTAAAAAGTACAAAAAACTTGATCTTAAGTTTTCTATGATGAACTAATGATATGTTTGTAAAATATTGGGCAGTGAATTCATAAACAAATCACTTTAGGCAATGGCGTAGACCTGTGGGTCGATTTTCGTGATTTCTCATAAGCAATTCATTGTTTCGTTCAGCCACAAGTAGAAGAGAAATCAACTGAGAGTACTTTGTGATGCCTTTCTCTCGGTACTGCTGTTGCAAGACCATATTGGATGCATGAAACGTTGTAAACGTTTTTTCAAGCATATCATAGTCACTGATATTATCTCCACAGAGTTTCAATTTAGAAGTAATTCTAAACATAGCAGAATTATATTCAGAAACATACTTAAAGTCTTGGAGCCTAAAATGAGCCCAATCATATTGTGCTTGTGGAAGAGTGACTAACTTTAAGTTGTCATATCTTTCCTTTAAACTATTCCACAAAACAAGTGGATCTTTCACTGTGAGATATTCAATTTTCAACCCTTCATCAAGGTGATGGCGCAAGAAAATCAAGGCCTTAGCACAGTCTTGGGTAGATGCTTTATTTTTATCTTTAATGACGTCTCCAAGACCCATTGCATCTAAATGGATTTCAGCATCCAATACCCATGTCATATAGTTCTTGCCCGAAATTTCAAGGGCAAAGAACTTTCTTTTCATAATATCAGACATAATTTAAAAAATACAAATTTGAGAAAAATTATACTTTAATTTTCTCAAAGATCTTCTTGAGATGGTAGAGCCTCGTGCTAATAACGTGTTATAAAATATACCCCAAAATAACAATATAGAACAAGCAAAAACAAACTAAGAGATATATAGAGAAAGATAGATTCTTATTTCTTCTTCAATTGTGTGTATTTTCCTATCTATTACAAGGCCTTTATATATGCATAAAAAGTGAAGAAAATATGTCATGGAATATGTCATTAAGCATTTGAAATGAAGATCATGGAAGAAAAATAAACATCCACCGTAATGTGATATTTATGGTAACATAATTATTAATAATTACTATTAATAAAGTTGTAGATAAGAGCAAATTATTTTATGTATAATGTGATACAACTCGCCCTCACTCTAGGTAATAGCAATTGATTACCTGCGTCTTTCAGTTTCCCTATATACGCGCTAATATTCAGCCACGTGCTAACACGCCCTCAGGCCCTTTTTGCCTATTTCTTTCTTCTCTCTTTCAGTCTCAATCTCAGGTAACGACGGTCCCATTCTTCAGACTCTCCGACTCCGTCAGCTGCATGCTCGTAAGTTGTCTTTCCGTGCTTTACAGTTTCTACATTTCACCGTCTTTTTTCTATACTACTTTTTCTTTCAATTTCTCTCCGCTGAAATAACTTATTTGGTGTAAACATTAGGGTACCAGTACGGTTTTATACACTCATAGTGATATAGAGTTAAATAATCTAATCCTAGTGTAAATACTAAGTTCTTTTTTTTTTTTGAGATAGAGATAGAAGTTCCTTGGGTTTATTGATCATTGCATTGTCCAATTTCTGGTTGGGAGGTAAAGCTACGTTACCTTTATAGGTTATCGAGTTTCGGTTCAGGCTTGTTTTTTAAAGTTAATTGCTGGCACACTTATTTATCTTTACTAGTATTTAGCAATTTTGAATAATTCAAGTTCATTCAACATTTGATTGTCGAATTTTGATGTAATTTTTCTCTGCCAAACTAACTTTCTACCTGTGCTTTCAAATTTTTATTTCACTATTATTACAAATTAGTATCCTAAATTCTATGCCCATACGAGGGGCTATTCACTAAGCACTTTTTAATCTGTGTAGAAACTTTGTTAATAATGTTACTAGTGCTATAAATTTTCTTTTCTTGCTTTGGTTTCAGTAATAGTTTAGCTCCAACACATTCACAAATTCTAAGTCAAAGGTCATCATTGTTGATTTGACAAATTTAAGACCAAGAAGGTCCAAGAATTTTACCATTAGTAATAAATTTTAACTGAATTTGATAGTCGACTTCAATCTTAGAAGCAAACAATAATAGGTTCTGCTATTCTGATCCTCAATGGTTATAAACTTTTACACTTTCGAGTAATTTTATGCTTGGTTACCCTTTATTTTGTTGTGATGGTCGGTTTGCAATATAGCTTTATACTCTATAGTTAGTTGAACTGATTGCACATCACGTTAGGATATAAAACAATTTTTTTTTGCTAGTCTTAGATACACAAATATACTCTTATAAGGTAAAGCTTCTGAACACGTGCTCACAACAGAGAGATACTCTCGGGTGGGAGGTAAAGCAATAAATCTCCATGTGTTTAAGCTCACCAGTAGACAGATCTTGTCCACAATAACTTAATTTGCGCCTCGACTCTATCATCAAGTGATGCAATATTTCGGTCACTTATGTTTGAGAATTGCTACATCCATTTTAGGCGCACATCACGAGCTGCCATGATAAAAGCATGGTATTTAAGTGGAGAAAGATAGAGGGGCATACCGATTATCATCTAGATTTGAACCGCGCACAAGCTGACCTCGAGTATTTCTCGGTTATCAAATAAATTGATGCCTCCATTTTGATTATGCCTTGCCCTTAGTCATGTTTCTTTATGCGCCTCCCTTAAATTTTTCTCCTTGATTCTCCAAGGTAAAGTTGGGGGTTTGTGTGTATGAAAAGTAGTCTCTATCCCCAAAACAAAGATATTTATTAGTGCTGTCAATCTTGGCCCCAGCCCAAATGACCCGCCCAACTCGCCCAAGGTTGGGCTGGTCATTGACCCGCTCAAGGAATGACCCGTCCATTTATTGATCTCAGCCCATCTTGACGCAACACATCTCAACCCATTTAAAGTTGGTTGATTTTTAGCCCAAATTAATCCATGAGTAACTTTACCAAAATATCTTTGAAATAATTTTTTTTTTGTTTGATATATTATATATGACCATAACAAAAGAAAAAAAGTCTTATTTAGTAATTATACAATTCATAAGAAAATAACACATATTAAGTAAAGTTTGATAAGAGTTGGGCGGGTTGGGCTATGACCCAAATCTTAGCCCACCTTGACCCAACCTATCTTAGTCCAAGTAACTTTTGGGTGGGTTATTTGACCCGCCTAATCATTGACTCAACCCGTTTTGACCCGCCCAAAATCGGCCCAACCCGCCCATTTGACACCCCTAAGGGAAATTACCAGCTATGTCCATTTATAAGTAGCTCATTACAAAAATTGGCCAATTGATACAATATTTTTAATATTAGCCAAATTAGCCAATTAGTTATTTGTAGCAAAAAAATATTAAATTTTTGCTTTGTTTTGAGTGGGTGTTATTAGAATAGATTGGCACAACTTAAGGAGCTTGAATCTCAGTTTTGGGATGATTTGGTGAAGTTTTGAGGTGGTTTGAATTGAAAATTCGAAGTAAAAGCTGAACATGAAAAAAAATGATATGTGTATCACACTGTGTATCATTTGTGTATCACATATGTATCATATTTGTGTCAATTGTGTATCACATGTATATCCATGTATACTTGTGTGTAAGATACATGCGTGATACATGTGTCGCAGAAGACTTTTTTGAACTCGATTTAATTACGAATTTTGATACAAAACCAGTCCAAATCACATCCAATCTTCCTCAAATTTTGTATATTGACTTATCTTTATATTTTCAATGAATTTCAACTATACCCATTGAAAAAGTTCCTTTTTTGTGTAGATTTTTGAAGTAGTGTATAGATTTTTGTATTTCATCACCTTATTTGCTACCCCGTCCATGAAATTTCCTTTTCGTCTTGTATCTAATGTTGCTAATCACGCTTAAAATTATGGAAGGTGATTTTTGCATGTGATTCTTTGATAGAAAGAACCCTATTATTTGGTTTTTCAATTTTTGTTGGCTAGTTTTGGTAAGTCTATCATTAATGGCTAGAGATTGGTAAGTTTGAGATTTATTTGGGACATTTGTGTAAGTTTCCCTAATATTTATACAAGGAAAAGAAAATGAAATGCAGCTTCAAAAAGTATTGACCATTTATTAGATCATGCAACAGCCTAATCTAGATATCATTGGAAGCCATTATAATAATGAAGTCTGTCTCTGGTCCTCATAAAAATAATAATTCTGCCTCTGATTCTGCTCATATGTTCTCTGGTTTATGTAGGCTCACTGAGTAATTTGAAGGTTGCTTTTAAATCCACAAAAGAATGCCGCCCAATCCAAGAGTTAAGAAGGCATATGACGCTATGAAAAGTATTGGCATCTCTAACGGAAAGGTGAAGCCAGTCTTGAAGAGCCTTCTAAAACTATATGACAAAAATTGGGAGCTTATCGAAGAGGAGAATTATAGAGCACTTGCAGATGCTATATTTGAGAAGGAGGAAGCAGAGGTTCAATCTATCTGTCTTTCTTTATTTGATTTTCTTTCTCTCACATTTCTGTTCAAGTCAGAGTTTATTTTTTCTTCTTTCCTTATCAAAACATTAAATGTGCTAAATGGAGTCTGAATTTTCTTGATTGACATCCTATTGCAGGCAGCAGAACAGAAGAAGTCTGAGAATACTGAAGTAAGCCAGGTGGATTGTCTGCCTGTGTTTAATTTAAATTATTCATGTAATTTTTATAGGATCCAAGATTTTGTCTTCCTCATTTTCTATGTATCTTATATTGGTCCCTTAGCCGCTTGTGCGGCGAGAGGAAGTTTTAGAGGAAGAAGCAGGGCATGAGGAGCCTGAAAGACCACTAAAGAGATTGCGCTTAAGATATCAAGAAGGTCAAGCTTCACCTTCCGCTAACAATTCCAGTGGTGGGACTTCTCTTAAAAGGCCCCAACGGGAGGAAACTCAAACACCTCAAATCATGTCCAGGGGGGATAGGTTGGTTGCTGCTAGAGCTTCCCATGCATCAAAACTCAAAGAGCCAAAGACAGAACCCAGTGGTGAACTGTCCCCTAAACAGAAGATGTTGGGATCCCTTGCTTTGATCAAGCCCAAGGATGAACCATATACTGATGATATGCCACAGTTTGAGGTTCCTATTGTTGTTATTCACCCAGGTATATACTTATCTTGGATAGCCAAATGTTGGTATTTACTGTGTCACTAATTAACTCTTCGTGGTTATTGAATTTTCCTTGGCCAATAGACACATTACAAGAGTTAGAAATCGAGACATTGCTAGGTTGGTTTACATAGTTTTCCATTTCTTTGGCCAATAGAGAATTATATTTAGAAAACTCTGGTCTTATGGAACTATGGAGGTTACAAATTTAATTTTTTGACATCTTAATGGATTTGTATAGACATAATATATTGAGACCCCCTGAACTTGACACTTCTTATTTAGTGCACACCTGAACTAATTGTGGTCGTTACCAACCCCCCCCCC